TTCCTGAGGTTGTGTGTGTGACGTGCACGTTCCTGAGGTTGTGTGTGTGACGTGCACGTTCCTGAGAGTGTGTGTGTGACGTGCACGTTCCTGAGAGTGTGTGTGAGTGACGTGCACGTTCCTGAGCGTCCACAGACAGAGCAGCTGCAGCTTTTGTTCACTTCCTGTAGTCCTGCAGTTTTCCAGCTGAAATGAAAAAGCATCATGAAGATGAACTTTACAGTCTCTAGTTACCTGTTCATAGAAACACATGGAGCTGTCTCACCTTGTGACTCACAATAAAATATGTAACTTTATGAACTCTAATGAACTTATAATGATGCTCCTACTCTCTGAAGGTGAACCCATGGTACCACACCATCTCTCAGTCGGACAGTCTGACCAGTTTGATCAAAATCCTCCAGTTTAAAATCCTCACTGCTCAGATGAATCCTCCTCAAAGATACTTCCTCCTCTTCCTCACATCTTGTTCTTTGGGAAATCTTCAAAATGAAAACAGGACATTTGTGTCTACACAAAAACATTGTACAGAGGAGGTCAATCTTATTTTCTATTTCCTATATTCTCCCTAGTTTTATTTATTATTTCCTAGAACTTAAACAAAACTCCAGTTTTGATGCATATCTGTTGATAATGAACCAAAGCTGCTGAAACAGTGAGTATGATTGTTAGCAAAATATTCCTGTCATCAGATCTCAGTCAGTTTCATTGCAGCTGAACACCGTGTTACACTGAACATCACATCAGCTGGTGGACATAAATACAGTACAGTAATATTATATTCACAAAATACTAACAATAATATGTTCATCTTACTGTGAAAAGTTATCCCCCGAGACCTGACGTCAACAGTCCGTCGATCTGAACAGAAATAAGCTGCGAAGTGCTGAGACATCTTCTGCTTTAACCAAATAAGGACGACCGTTTCAAGATGGCGGCCGAAAATCCTGCACCGCAGCAGCCAATGAGGGATCTAGTGATTATATATCTTTTTTTTTTTTGTGTGCGTGTTTATATATCTATGCCTGCATGTACACGCGCCCGCTGCGTCACATGACCAAACCAGGAAGTGTTTCTATACAGGCAGGCGCAGCAAGTGATATCCACTCTCTGTGGTTAAACAAAGTTTAGTGTTTGCTAGTCCTACTGGTGCTGAAACATGGCAAACATTTTAAGAAGAATAACAAACCGAAAAGCGGAAAAACAGAAGAACACGACCGTTAGTCAGAACGACATGCAGAAGTTTGGTTTAACAGGTACGAAGGGTTTTCTCACTTTCTGCCCAAAGGATTAATTCATAGTGAAGTGGTGCATATATATATGTTTTTATTTGGCTGACTGTGTGAAGAGTGCTGAGCAGCAGGTTTCCTCTCCACAGGGATCCAGCTGAGAGGGTACCAGCTGGACGGCGTGCAGTGGCTCTCCCAGTGTCTGAAGACCCAGCAGGGCTGCATCCTAGGAGATGAGATGGGTCTGGGCAAAACCTGCCAGGTGTGTGTGTCCTCTCAACCTATAAAATAAGTTGAGTTTAAGATACTTCATTTATTGATTACTAAAATCAACAAACAAAATCCTGACTAGACGTTCCATGTTGGTTTTTCAATTCTCAGGTGTTGCTTTATTTAAGTGATCCTAAACAGGCTACGTGCAGTTGTTCAACTGAACCGCCCGTGTCTTACGAAGCACTAAAAAGCAATAGGCATTCCTTCAAGAAATGCTTGGCCTTTTTATTTTTATTTATAATTAATAAAGTAATTCATATGTCTTTTTAATTGCTAAGAAACTGTAAAATATCAGTGAATATAAGTAAAAATCAATGTTCAGTATTGATGCAGAGTATTTTTACTCACAAATTAATGCACAATTAGCACATATTTACCAGGATTTTCAGTAGGACTCGCTTCATACAAACACAAAGATCGGTCAAGCTTCATTGACAGTTTACTAAACTAAAGAGCGTCACATTTGCTGACACAACAGTTGTTAGCAACATTTTTTACAGCACTCACAACTCCCGAATATGTGTACTTACAAATCCAGCAGTTTTTCATGATCATTATGAGCTTTTCTGACAATGCTGATTGTCTGTCTGTCTGTGTATGTTGTGAGCAATATAACTTGAAAAGTAAGTGAGTTACAGACTTCCATTTTGTTGTGTAGCTGCTTCTAAGCATAAGAAAGGTCAGTATCAAAAATTGAGTTGCCACGTCAAAAACCAAGATTGCTATTACCACATATTTATGTAACTGGCCACCCCAGTCATTTGAGAAAACTGATTTCCAGTTTTTACCTTGCTTAAAAGTATCCACCTTATTCGTGGGGGCTTTAATGTATAAATGATTCTGGTACAACTTCCTGTCAGACACAGGAAGTTGTAGTAAGCCTTGGTTAACCATGGTACCGGAGCACGGACCACGGTTTATTTGAAAGTAATTTGCATTCAGTTTAGCAGATAAAATGTTGTGTTTGTTTTGCTTACATTTATTTAACAACTATAAAGTTTGCTAAAATAGCCGTGTTGAGTTCAGGTACCTGTTGTACTGTCTGCAGCTGCACAAGCAACCAGACCAGACTAAATCAGTGGCTGCAACAGTGTTTGGAACACAGACCCAAAACAAAAAAAGTGTTCCTGTGAAAAGCGGTACAGTGAAGCCTCGTTTTTCACGGGGGTTACGTTCCAAAAAGAACCCGTGATAGGCAAAATCCATGAAGTAGTAACCTTTCTTTTTTTTACAATTATTATACAATGAAATACTCCATAATACATTCAAACCAAAGAACACAACCTTTTTACAGGCCCAAGCATTTGTTTAACAAATAAAATTACTGTATAAACGTTTTTTACAAATAACTACTGTACTGGAGAGGCTGTTTAGCCAATCAGAATGCAGAACACAATGCACGATGCAAATCCGTGAAGCAGCGAGACCGTGAAAGGTGAACCGCATTATAGCGAGTGTTCACTGTATAGTTTCCATCGCTTATCTACAGAAGAGGAATTAAGAACAATGTGACTGAAAAATGTGAACTTGAAGAGACCACCCAAAATGCTGTATGTGTGCTCATTTTACTTTGTTGACAAATGACCAACAAAGGAAAACCTGCATCCTACTTTGTGGCTGGACTACAATAAGCCACAGGTGAAGAGATGCCGGACCCTCAGAAGGACTGAAAACAGTGTGACAAGAATATCGGGTATGAAAACAGATTGTAGGCTCAATCTTGCAAGTAGATAACAACAAATAAGGTTAAATCATGTCATCTGGACCAGTTTCTTTAAGTGAGAAACGTTTCGTCCCTCATCCAGAGAACTTCCTCAGTCTGTGGCCTACCAATCAGATCTGTTCCATAAATAGCCTTCACTGCTGTGTTTCAAGTCAACCTCCTGTTGGAATCTCAAAAGTAGGCATTTAACACGTGCAAAGCACACCCATCCAAAACAATCAATCATCATGTACAACAATCAAATGTTTTAGGCCACATTGCCGACCTGCTACTCACAGAAGCAGCCCGAGGACAACCAAGGCCAAAGAGGTTCAGAAAAAAGGTTGTAGGCTCAATCATCCAGGTAAATAACAACAAAAAAATGTTAGATCATTTCATCTGGACCAGTTTATTTAAGCCAACAGGAGGTTGGCTTGAAACACAACAGTGAAGGTTACATATGGGACAGATCTGGTTGGCAGGCCGAAGACTTAGGAAGTCCTCTGGATGGTGAACGAAATGTTTCTCAAAGAACTGGTCCAGTTTAATATTATTACTGTGTAGATACTAATACGCCTAGGGCTGAGTACCGAACCGAGGTTCTTTTATGGCACCGACCGAACTGCACCGGTCGGTGTATGTATTGAAACGTCACTCTTCTTTCAGTGTCAAGTTTCGGTATTGGCTGTAACGTGTCACGTGGTTTCAGCATGCAGGCTGGTAAAACACCAGACATATGACAAACACTACACCCAGATTACACCCAGAGCTGTATAGAGCTGCTGTACCTAATCTATGTATAATTATGTCTATGGTGCTGGTGGCGCCCACAGACGGGTTCACGTGCACAGCGTGTGTTATCGAACGGCTTTGACAACACGCGCTGCAGAAAGTTGCTCCGTGTTTTTCTGCGAGGAGAGAGGAGTTCAGCAGCCTCCCCCCTCCTTCTCCTCTCACCATTAAAGTCAGCCTGTGAGTAGAGCCTGAACGTCCCGATTCATTATCTCCACGACCGGACTCTTCATCAAAGAACTCCGAGGACGGCTCTGTGTCTGTGCTTCAGCTGGTGAGTTTATGTTTGTTAACGTTACTGCAGCTTAACGCGTACATCGCGGTGAAATAAATTATGATCCATGTAACGCTAACTTTAAGATATTAGTGTGTAAATTTATTTTATCTACGTGGCTAGCTAAACTCAGAAGCTAACTAAAGATTGACAGTAACATAAATCTTAGCTTGTAAAACTGTGCTCATCCATCAGGTCAGCAGGTTAAACAGTTCACTAATGTTCACTGTTTATGTTCATGTTCTCCTCACAGGAGGTTCTGACCCAGATGTGAGGACAAAAGAAAAGTGAGGTGGGGGCCACAGGACAGTCAGACTTTGTTGTTAAAAGTTTGCTGCTTTTTCTACAGTGGAGGCTGCATGTTGGAGGTAAGTTAAACTTTAAAGGATGTTGTTGACCAGTTAAACTTTTATCTCTCAGCCTAGATGATGTTTTTTGAGCAATAACAACACAACCATGTTATTGTTGATGTTTTGTTCTCATGTCAATTAGGGAGATGATCAGAGCCCTAAACCCCAGAGAACCACAGAGAAGATTCAGGAAGAGACACAGAGGTGCAGAAGTCTGCATCATCCCTACCTCAGTGAATCCAGTGACCTGCTGGTGGAATGTGAGGGACAATATGTCAAACTGACAACCAGGTATCTGTGTGTGCAACAATCATCATCTACAGCCTCAGAGTGAACATGTTCTACTGCTGGAGACACCATCAGACAGGAGCAGCTGGTTTGTGTCCAGAGAAAACAGACATGTTGATGTTTCTGAAGAAAAACTGTTCAGTGAAAAGGTCCTCAGTGTGTAGCAGTGACCATTAGACACTGACATGTCACTGGTTTGTAACTGGTCTTTTGACCTGGAAATTATTTGTTTATTTTTATGTAAGAAAACTGCTTGGAATGGAAAAATACCAAAGTTAAAAAATAAAACTCACAATTTGTACTGCAATGTGTAACGTAATTTTATTCTTGTTAGAATTAATAGTGATTACAAAATTGGTACCGAAAAAAGAACCGTCCAGGAACCGACACCGAAGTGAAGGTACCGACACCGGTACCGATACCAATTTTTTTTTTTAGAAAGGTACCCAGCCCTAAATATGCCTCAGGCTTTTCAGGTTGTTCATCTCTTCACCTTTGGAAGAGCAGAGACAATGAAGTAGCTAAATATGCTAGTAGATGTAATCTGCAGCCACTTCTTCAGGTCATCCTCCCATCCCTCGCCTGCAGTAGCAGCAGTATGAGTATATTGTCCTATTTGAGTTCTAACAGGCGATGTTCCTACATACGCCAGTTCTGGTCCGTGCCTGAAGTTGCACCCATAATTTACGAAAGGCACCATGGGGGCTAGGAATAAGATGGATATCCTGATGCATGCTCAATAATCATTAGGTTGTTGGTCCTTCTTGATCATGTGAGCAGTTGGTTTTGGTTGTCGGCAGCAAACTGGTTCATCCACTCTGAGAAGGTGCTATTTATAAGACTGAGCTGAATACAGCACCTCAAACTGAGGAAGTCTTTTGGATGAAAGACGAAATGTATCTACAATTTTTTTGTTTTGTTTTTTGAATGTCCAAAGGACCAGACTTAGCTTTTTTAGAATAAAATGGATAGTTTCCTCAAATGATTGGGGTGGCCTGAAGAATAATCTGATATCCAAGGCCACCATTGACTACCCCTTGGTGCTTCCATTGCGCCTGGTGGTGGAAAACAATTGCTCCCTCCACTTGCCATGATCCTTCACTCTGCGCTGGACAAGGAAAAAATAAATAAATAAATCTTGTCTTTTACACAGTATAACTCCTACCCACTTGAATATCTTGCACCAAAAACATTAAGGTTTACTTACCCATTTTCAGTTCCTGCCCAGAAAAACACTCCTCTCAAAGACTACAAATATTAACTGTTCAAATCCTTCAACGATGGGGGACATCATCATACCACTTGTTTACAACGGTGAAAGCAGGAGCACCAGTCCAACTGCCAAGAAACAGCTTTGATTGTCTATATTACTCAGGATTTTTTTCCATGTATTCAGTCATCAATTTTTTTTACCCGCTTGTTAAAGGAAACTGGTGTCTCTCCAGTGTTTATTGTTTGTTTGTTTGTCATTTTTATTCATTTCATATTTAAAACACAAAAACAATTTAGAAACCAAATGAAAAAAAAAAACACGTCATAAAATGAAAGGTAGCAGAAGAAGAAAAAAATCTTATATCTGCCCC